GCTCGGCCACTCCCCGGTGGCCACGGTACCGTGGTGCTTTCGTGAGGCTGGCGTGGCTGTGGCCTCCAGTGCAGGGCGGCTGACTGCGGCCGCCTCACATCCTGTTTTCCTGTCGGGGCTGCTGCCAGGGTGAGCTGAGTCCGTGGGGAGCTAGAGCAGGCGTGGCACTCGTGGCGTGGCCCGGCGGGGTGCTGCCAGGGCGAGCTGAGTCCGTGGGAGCTAGAGCAGGCGTGGCCTCGTGGCGCACCGTGGCGTGGCCGGCGGGGTCTGCAGGCGAGCTGAGTCGTGGGAGCAGAGCAGGCGTGGCACTCGTGCGTGGCCCGGCGGGGTGCTGCCGGGCGAGCGAGTCCGTGGGGAGCTAGACAGGCGTGGCACTCGTGGCGTGGCCGGCGGGGTGCTGCGGGAGCTGAGTCGTGGGGAGCTAGAGCAGGCGTGGCACTCGTGGCCACGTGGCGTGGCCCCGGCGGGGCCGTGGCGTGGCCCGGCGGGCTGCTGCCGGGGGTCGGCCCGTGCGGGTTTCAGAGGGCGGGTGTGGGCATGGGGCCGGTGGGGAAGGAAAGGCTCCAGGTGGGAGCGACGGGCCAGGATCAGATCAGGGGGAACGTGGGACGCTGGCCGGGTCCCAGACGGCTCCGATGGGTGGACGTGGCTCACTGCAGTTAGGTCTTCCCACCGCTCAAGAGAAGCAGGAAATGAGATTTAAAACAGTCAGGAACTTTTATTTATTTATTTATTTTTTGAGACAGAGTCTGACTCTGTTGTCCCGGCTAGAGTGCCGCAGCGTCAGCCTGGCTCACAGCAACCTCAAACTCCTGGGCTCAAATGATCCTCCTGCCTCAGCCTCCTGAGTAGCTGGGACTACAGGCATGCGCCACCATGCCTGGCTAATTTTTTCTATATATTTTTAGTTGGCCAATTAATCTCTTTCTATTTATAGTAGAGACGGGGTCTTGCTCTTGCTCAGGATGGTTTCTAACTCCTGACCTTGAGCAATCCGCCCGCACGGGCCTCCCGGAGTGCTAGGATTACAGGCGTGAGCCACTGCCCGGCCAGGGACTTTCAAATGTATGCAATGAAATGTAAAAGTTCAAGCGGATCCGAGTGTGGGGCTTCCGGCTAGGAGCGGCTGCAGGGGTGGAGGGAGAGGGCACCCGGGAGGCGCTCAAGGGGTGTCTGAGGCCCGGGCCCCAGCCCGGCTCCTCCACCACCCACGCCTCCCCCCAGTTTGCAGAGCTGCCCTCTGGCCAAGAAGAGGAAGCTGGAGGGAGTGGAGGCCGAGCACCTGGTGTCCAAGAGGAAGTCGCAGCCCCTGAAGCTGGCTCTGCACGAGGGCTGTGGTGTGGACAGCGACGGCAGTGAGGACACCGAGGTGAAGGACGCCTCTGTTTCAGATGAATCGGAAGGAACTCTGGAGGGGGCCGAGGCCGAGCTGTCTGGACAGGAGGAGATTCATCGCCCCGAGCCAGCTGAAGGTGCTTTGTCGCGCCCTGTGCCCGGATAAAGGGTGCTCAGTGTGGCCCTGGAGAATCGCAGCCTGTGAGCGGGCAGGGGCTCGCGCTGGCAAGAGAAAGCCTTCCCGAGAACAAGGCGCGTCTTGTGCCGACATTTGCCGGCTTCCTGGGCAGGGGCTCTGCGGTGTGCCGTGGGAGCGCTGTGCGGGAGGAGACGGCAGACTCGCAGACACGGGGCGGGGGTGCGCAGCTGCGGCCTGTTCCAGCAGGTGTGTCTGCGTGCGGGAGGGACAGACGGGCTGTGTTTCTGGAGCCTCCGTGGGGTGGGGTCCTAGACAGAGTCCCTTCTGCCTGCCCGCGAGAGCTGCCTGGCAGGGGCGAGGCTCCCTCGCAGGCAGGCACTGAGGAAACACCCGGGCTGAACCGGAGGTGATGGGGGACCACGTGGGGCCCCTGCTTCCTCGCGGGGCCTCCCAGGACTGGCCGTGTCAGGGGACCTGGCCCTTGGCAAAAGCAGGTGCAGGATTTCAGAACCAGGCATCGTAGTGAAATTTTAAAAATTATTTAAATAAAAAAGTAACAAAATAAAAAAAGAGAGAGAACAATTTAAGTTAAAAAATAATAAAAATAAATAAAAGCAGGCACAGGTGCTCCGAGTCCCGGAGGGAGGCGTCTGTGTCCCGACAGCCCCGCAGGCCTGCGGCGTGCTGGGGTCCAGGCTGAGGTCTCTGGATGCCCCACCAGCAGCCCCAGCGTCCGGCATCCACTGGCCTTGGAGGGTCTCAGGGAATTCACATTTTATCTTTGAGGCCAGTCGAGGCAGGTCCTCACACCTCCCTCCTCCTGGGGCTCTGGAGTGAGTGTGAGGCCCCACCGAGTCACAGCAGGCCTGGACCCCAGTGGAGGAGACACTAACTTGCCGCTTTCTCATAAGGAAGGTGTTGGAGTTCCGCACCAGCCCTGGGATTCGCCCCTTCTCCACAGAGTGAGGGTGGCAGGCCCGCTCCCAGCACTGCGGGGGTGCCGGCCAGGAATCCTCCCGGATCATCCCACAGGGCCTGCCTGCAGTGGGCACCCACGGCGTCTTAGTTATTGTGGTTGAAAGGATTACATTTGGGCCCTTTTAAAATAAAAGTTTATTTACTGCTTTTCTTTTTTCTTTTTAATTTTGTTTTGTTTTTAGAGACAGGGTCTCACTCTGTCACCCAGCCTGGAGTGCAGTGGTGTGATCGTGGCTCACTGCAGCCTCGAGCTCCCGGGCTAAAGCGATCTGCCTGCCTCAGCCTCCCCAGTAGCTGGGACTACAGGTGTGAGCCACCATGCCTGGCTCCTTTTTAAAATGTTTATAGACACAGGGGTCTTGCTATATCGTCCAGGCTGATCGTGAACTTCTGGCTTCAAATGATCCTCCTGCCTCAGCCTCCCAAAGTGATTTAGTGCTTTTCAGTTATGAAGTAATTTTTAAAAATGTGATTTGCTCCATTTTATAAATGCCGGTTTATCCGATCTGAGAAAGCTCATGTAATGGGGGAAGAATATTAAGAAAATATATTAAAATGATTCTCAGCTTTAAAAACACATCAGCAGCTCATGACCGACCTCCTAAAATAAGTGCGCCGTGATATCTGGTTTGGGCGGAGGGGCCGACAGAGACACCCACACCAGTCCCCACGCTGGGACTCCCTTGCCTTCCCCGGGCTGCGGTGTCAAGAGCGGGAGGTGGGAAGGGTGGAGGGCTGGAGACTCCCCGTGTACCCTCCCCGGCCCCATGGCGTTTCTGGTTCTGTGCAGGAAGGAGCCCCATCAAGCCCCACTTTGGGGCCAACCCCGTCAGCAGCCCCGCCGGCTCCTCCAAGGGCAGCTACGGCAGCTACAAGGGAAGCATCGCCACTTCTCTGCTGAACTTGGGCCGGATCGCTGAAGAGACCCTGGTCGGGGAGGACCTGGGCCAGGTGGCCAAGCCAGGCCCCCGCATCGTGCACCTGCTTCAGGAGGAGGCTGCAGAGGGGGCCACCAGTGACGAGGGTGAAAAGGACCTCTTCATCCAGCCCGAGGATGCGGAGGAGGTCGTCGAGGTCACCAGCGAGCGCTCCCAGGAGCTGTGTCCCGCGTCCCTGGAGGATGTGGCCAGCGAGGAGTCCAGCACGCACAAAGGCGTCCTGGGTCACGAGGAGGAGGAGGATGATGAGGAGGAGGAGGACGAGGAGGAGGAGGATGAGGAGGAGGAAGAGGAGGAGGAGGAGGAGGAAGAAGGGGAGGAAGAGGAGGAGGAAGGGGAGGAGGGAGAGGAGGGGGCAGCTGCCGACGTGATCTTCGAGGAGGACGCCGCCCGCGCCTCTGCCCAGAAGGCCCCTGAGCTCCGGCGCCCGGAGCCGCCCAGCCCCAAGCCCGAGTACGCCGTCATCGTGGAGGTCTGCTCGGACGACGACAAGAACGAGGACGCACGCTCCCAGAAGTCGGCGGTCACGGACGAGTCGGAGATGCACGACATGATGACCCGGGGGAACCTGGGCCTCCTGGAGCAGGCCATCGCCCTGAAGGCCGAGCAGGTGCGAGCCGTGTGCGAGCCGGGCGCCCCCGCGGAGCAGGGCCCGCTGGGCCTGGGCGAGCCAGCGAAGGCGGCGAGGCCCCTGGATGCCGGGCGCAAGAGCTACTACAGCAAAGGTAGGGCTGCGGCTGGCCCCGAGCCCCTCCCTCCGCGGGGACCCGCCCCGCCCCGGCACACGGCGCTTGCAGGCGGGGGGGGGGGGGGGGGGCTGGGGGCAGAAGGGCAGACAGGGGACAAAGACACACGCCCCAGACCGTGGTCGCGTGCTGAGGAAAGGGCTCACACCGCTGTCCACGGGTGATCTGGGGAGAGACGCGGAGCTGAGACGTGGGAAGGAGCAGGAGGCAGAGAGCAGGCTGGGAGGGACAGTGACCCGGCCACAGTGGCTGCTCACAGCAGCATCTGCCGTCTGGACAGGCTGGGGCCTTCTGGTCCCTGCCCCCCAACTTCTGCCTGTGGCAGAACCCACACTCGGCTGCCTTTGGCCCCAGAAAGCTGCTTGCTGCAGCCGTGCTGGGTCATCCTGACCCCGTTGCAGGCTGAGGCCAGCCGGCAGCACGAGGGACGCCTGTCTGTCGCCGGCTTCTCTGTAGGGAGCAGCCTTCTGCTGGCTCCACACCTGCATCTGGATTTGGCCCTAAATTGTGCAGGGCATGGGGCAGCACCCCCTGGCCTCGCTGGTGGAGCGGCAGTCAGGCGGGGCCGACGTGGTTGGGGAGGGGCTGGGAGACTGGAGGCCAGACTGGGTGGCCCCTTAGTGAACAGTCGTAGCCACCACCGTCACCTGGGGAGTCAGGGTCTGGACCACAGGCTGCCCATCTCGAGGACTTCCTAGGCCCAAGGACAAGGGTCAGGGTGCAGGATCCAGGGTTGGCCAGGGGCTGCTCCCTACGTGAGCTAACCTGACCGCCAGGGGACAGGTCTGGGACAGGTCGGCTCTGGCCCTGTGCACGCCCATGGGGCTGGCACGGAAGCCCCTGCACCTGGTCACTTGGCCTCCGTTCTCCCAGACCAGGGAGCTACTCTGACCTCAGTCTCTTCTCTCCTTACCCTAGTCCGGCTTCCTCTTTCGTGGGTCTGGGCAGTGGGAGTCCCTGGTGCTCTTCCAGCGACTGGTCTGGGAAGGGCTAGCTGAGACCAGGTAGGGAGCAGACAAGCGGGGAGAACTGGCCTGGGGGTGACTCAGATGCTGGAGCCAGGAGCTGAAAAGCACAGGAGATGCAGACTTGGGACAGACCCTGGGAGGACGCGCTGGGGTCCCCGGAGAGACGGGCTCGAACGACACAGCTTGAGGGCGTCATAGCCAGGAGGGGGTGGAGACACAGGGACACATTTTCTGGGGACACCGTGCACACCAGACAAGCCCGGAGGGCAGACGCTGAGGGACACAGGCCGGGGGTGTGATTTCAGGGAGGGATGGACCTGAAGGGTGGCTCTGGGGGACACCTGGGGGACACCCTTTCGGGTGACACAGCTAGGGGCAGCTGTTCAGGGACTCAGATTGAGGCCAGGCCTCGAGGGGCCGTAGGCAGGAGGAGACACAGGCTGAAGGTGCAGCAGACTCAGGGACAAGCGTGGCTGCGAGTCTGGGTGTGGCACGCTTGGGCCACAAGTCAGGGCAGACTGTGGCGGGACACATGCGAGGGATGCTGTCACCAAATGACAGCCAGGCGCAGGTGTTGAAGGACTCAGACCTGTGGGAGAGACACTGGGCTACCCAGACACAAGGTGTCCTGCCTTCAGAAATGTATTTTGAGGGCACAGGCCGGGGACAGAGCCCCAGGGTGGCCCAGGGGGCTGGGCGGAGTGTACCAGGAAGGCCAGGTCAAGCTGCGCAGATGCACGTGTGTCGACACGTGGCGCTGGGGTGCGGCTGCAGTGGCAGCCCTGCTGCAGTGGCAGCAGCTCAGGAGGCAAATGTCGGGCACAGATGTGGGAGCCCCTCAGGGTGCCCTGTCCAGAGGGGTGGACGTGACTTCCCGCCCCTCTGGACTCGCAGTGGCAGAGCCAGGGGCTCTTCCCTTTGGAGCCGCTGCTGGGTCCGAGTTCAGCACTGTGACTTCTGCAAACTCCCAACGGGGCATCTTTCATCCAGAAAGAGTTTCTCTGGGATGTCGGCTGTGCTCTAAGGACCCTTCTTGTCCCTTCTGGTCCCCATGCTCAGTAGTGACCTGCCTGGGCCTGCAGAGGCCAGATGCGGCCAGTGACTGGGATTTGGTTTAAATTTCTGCCCAGGCATTTTAGCCAAGCAGCCTTGGGAAAGGTGCTTAGCCTCTCGTCTCCCTGTTTTGTCCAATACCAAGGCTGTCTCCTGGCAGGGGTGTCACCGAGCGCCTTTACCACTCCGCACGGGCCTGCGGGGCCTCCACACTGCCGGCAGGAGGGAGGGAAGAGGACCCAGCTGCCATCTGGACTGTTCCTTTAAGATGCTGCACATCCCAGTCTTCGGGGTAGTTGAGGCAGTCTCTGGGCTTTTCTACGCAAATAGCCAGTGTGGGCCCCAGGGCCATCTCACGTCCAGCCCCTGGCCCTTTGCGAGCTCCTGGGCAGTTCTCATCCCTTCTCTCTGGACAGCCAGAGTGACCCGCCCTCCCTGCTCGCCACCCACCACCCAGCTTCCTGGCTCTAACTGGTGCGTCTTGTGCATTTTAGATCCATCGAGAGCTGAGAAGCGGGAGATCAAGTGTCCGACACCAGGCTGTGACGGCACTGGCCACGTCACTGGCTTGTACCCGCACCACCGCAGCCTGTCGGGCTGCCCCCACAAGGACAGGATCCCCCCGGAGAGTGAGTAGCTCTCCGCAGGGTCGGCCCAAACCTCGAGGCTCAGGCCCATCTGTGGTGTCTGGGTGGTGTCCACGGGGAGGGGCAGCTTGCCCGGGGCCGTCCCTACGGTTTGTCCAGAGGCTCATCTGAACGCTCCCACACTCAAGCTGCCCGGAACCTCCTAAGCCCAGACTTGAGCCCCGTGAGGCCAGGGACACGCGTCTGCCCGGTTGTCCACCCAGAGATGCCCACTGGGTCAGAGCCCTGCAAGACTGCCACGGACACAGGTCGAGGGGAGGGGACAGGCCAGTGTCAGCCCACCTGGAAAGGCTCAGGGTTTCACGTAGTGACCTCTGTGTTCTGGATGCTCAGAAAAGGAATGCTTGCTCTTATTTCTAGGCTGGAAGCAGTAATTTTGAAAATTAAGTTTAGAGGAGTACAACACAGAACAAGAAGTTTTAAAGCTGAGGGTAGTTACTGCCACAGGACGGCGGGGACCATGCTAGGAGGGGCGTGTCCTGACCTGGCTGGCGGTGGGGCTGCCTGGGGGCTGGAGCTGCCCTGGGGCCTGCTCCGCTGCCTGCCCCGTCTCTGCAGAGCAGAGCTTCGCACAGGGCTCTTCCCCTCCAGGGCTGCCCCCACAGCCACACGTGGCTCACGGGCCTCTCACAGCCGTGGCTCCCCATCCCTGGTTCTCTTACAGTCTTGGCCATGCATGAGAACGTGCTGAAGTGCCCTACTCCTGGCTGCACGGGCCAGGGCCACGTGAACAGCAACCGCAACACACACAGAAGGTATCAGCTGAGCTGAGCCACGGGGGACTGTGGACGGTGGGGGGCCGAGTGTGGGGAGCAATCTGGTCTGGGCCTGTCGTGTGTGTCCTGCTCAGGCTTTGGGCCCTCCCCTGAGACAGGGTCTGGCCTGCCAGCTGGCCCCCTGAGTGCCACCCTCCTCCCTGCCTGCTGCCCAAGGGGGGGTGCGAGGTCAGGGCAGACCTGAGGCGGGGAGGACCTGCGTGGGTGGAGCAGACCCCAGAGGGCAGTCAGCCAGTGGTGTTGCTCTGCACCCTGTGAGCGGGGTCCCAGGAGGCCAGGGGCGGCTTGCAGAGGAGTGAGTGTGTGCTGCTTGGAGAGATCTGACTCCGTGCAGAGAGCCAGGTGCAGACTTTGCGTCCTGCCCACACTCGCAGAACCTCTGCATGCCAGCAGACACAAACAGGGGCCTCTCGGCAGGCCAGGGTTCTGCCCCGGGCTGCTCCGTGGAAGTGAGGCTCGTCTTCCATGATGACGAGGGACCACACCCGAGCCTTACCTGAAGGGCCATAGGTGGCTCTGGCCCCCACGGGACGTGCCTTTGCCCCAGGGGGCACATGCTCAGCTGAGAGGGCTGCCAGAGCTTTTGAGGCCACTTCATGTGAAAAGGGGCCAAGTTCCCCATCACGTCACGTCTCCATGCTGGCTGAGGGGCTGCCCTAGAGCTCAGGTCACTCAGATGAATCTGCTCCCCGTCTTAGACCGAGCGTGTGCCTGGTGCCCAGGTCGTGGTCTGGGAGGGGCCCTGGGCTGCCTCGAGGCAGGTAATGGAATATAAGCCAGAGATGGTTCCAGGATCTGGCTCTGGGAGCTGGGGAGGGGAGAGCACGGAGGTGAGGACCCAGGCAGAGGAGGCATCTTTGTCCGGAGCTTCAAAAGCCTTTAGGATGTGTGTCATTGGCTTAGAATTTCCCCAAACAGAAACTGACTGAGTAGCTTGTACTTTGAGGGCTTGAGGACAGAGCCAGAGGGAAAAACCCGTCCTGCAGAAGCGACAGGCCTGTTACTCCTGGCTCTGGGCTTCTTGCATGCTTAGCGCCCTCACGCCTGAGTTCTGAGACCCACGCCCTCGGCCACCCAGCGTGGGTCAGGTCTGGAGAAGAAGGTTCAACTGTCCTTCCCTTTCCTTCCTCTAGTTTATCTGGCTGTCCCATTGCTGCTGCCGAAAAATTAGCCAAATCTCATGAGAAGCAGCAGCCACAGACGGGAGATCCTTCCAAGAATAGCTCCAATTCAGATCGAATCCTCAGGTGAGTGAGAGGAGCCATGGCCCTTCCCCAGCCTGCTCTGGAGGGTTCCTCAGAAGGTGGGGTCCCACTCATGCTCTGTGGGTGTACTTACCATCCCATCCACGGGCACCTTCACCCTGCAAGCCCAGCTGGCTCTCACACTGGTTCGAAGCTGCCTTTTCCCTCCATCTTACTTGCTACCTTCCAGCTTCCTGTCACTTGCTAATTCAATCCTGTCCTTGCTTTGAGCTAAGCACTGGTGAAATGTCAAACGAGCAGTTTGGCCTGGGTGTGAGGCTGGGTGAGCCAGAGAGAGGGTCAAACAGGCTCCTCCCTGGAGGCTGCACTCCCTGGGACCTCAGTTCGTTCACCTGTAAAAGGACGACAGCAAACTGCAAGGCTGCTGGTGGGGCTTTCGTGACACTCTGCCCCCAGCCCACGGGGAGCTGGTGGCTGTGGTCAGGGTGGGGCAGCCTCCCGTTGGGCTCTGTGGGTTCTGTCTGGCCTGCATTTCCCATGTTGTGCTCTGGGGTTTTTAGTTTGCCTTTCCCCTGCTGGTGCCCACTGGCCTGACTCCTGCAACTTTTCTAGATGCTACTGGGCCAGCATCCAGCCCAGGCTTCCCACCTTTCTTGGGGAAGGGGCATACGCCCACTCCCTGATGGTGTCCAGTTTTCCCAGACCCTTCAGAGCTGACCATCATGGTTGCAGGGCCAGCCTGGTGGTTCTGTGCACCAGGCTTCTGTTCTCAGTCCACAATTAAGTCTTGTAGCACCTAGTTCCTTGCAGGCCCTCACTGTTAGCTCCTTCTTCACACTTGATCTTAGCCAAAAGGCCGAGAAGCGATGTTAGCTCCTTCTTAATTCCATTTGTTGCACCCTTTCCAGACTGGTGTCCTTGCTTGGGGCAGACAGGACCCTCTTCCTCTCTGAGTTGACTTGATGAAGCCTCTCTGTCCCCTGTGTGGCCACCAGCCTCCACTGCCAGTCTTTCTTCCCTGCCTCCTGTGCCCCCATGCCCTGTCTTCATGCCATCTTTTGTGCATGCAAGAACCTTAAGTCTTCCAAGAGCTTCAGCAACAGTGAACTAAAGGCCTCCCATGGCCTTTTCATGCCTGTTGTCATGGCCATGTCAACCTGGCTTTCAGAAGCCAGGTTTTTCAGAACCACTGAGGGCTGAGTCCCTGGCTGAGTGGAGAGCCAGTAGGACCTGCCCTGAGGTTGCTCCTCAGAAATGCACCTGACCCAACCAGTATCCCCTCTAGCTTCCCCAACTGCCTCCCTGCTGGGGAGTTCTAGGATATTCTGCTGCTAGGATTCTGGCTTGGATTGGCTTGCTGCCATTCTGGGCTATGTTGCTGTTGGGGTCCCTGCTGATAGCTCACAGTAATTGTAGCTGAGTTGTTTGAGCCTGCTTTCCTAAGTTATGGGAAAAGTCTCAGGTCCCCCCACCTCTGGCTATTGCTGTCAGCCTGAAGACAGGCCATTGTTTCTTTGAGGTTCCATTGCTTCCTCCCTGCAGGCAATTCTCTCCCGTACAGATCCCAGGCCTGCCCTAGGAGCCTTTCACTCTGGGAGGTGAAATGCTGACCAGGCTTTAGTGGTGGCATGTGTGTGAGGGGTGTATCCCTGGGTCTCCATTCTCTCAAGGCTCTGGGGGTTCCACGCCTGGGCCATGGGATGGGGTCTAGGGGTCTCCATTCTCTCAAGGCTCTGGGGGATCCACGCCTGGGCCATGGGATGGGGTCTAGGGGTCTCCATTCTCTCAAGGCTCTGGAGAGTCCACGCCTGGGCCATGGGATGGGGTCTAGGGGTCTCCATTCTCTCAAGGCTCTGGGGGTTCCACGCCTGGGCCATGGGATGGGGTCTAGGGGTCTCCATTCTCTCAAGGCTCTGGGGGTCTGTGCCTGGGCCATGGGATGGGGTCTAGGGGTCTCCATTCTCTCAAGGCTCTGGGGGTTCCACGCCTGGGCCATGGGATGGGGTCTAGGGGTCTCCATTCTCTCAAGGCTCTGGGGGATCCACACCTGGGCCATGGGATGGGGTCTAGGGGTCTCCATTCTCTCAAGGCTCTGGGGGTTCCACGCCTGGGCCATGGGATGGGGTCTAGGGATCTCCATTCTCTCAAGGCTCTGGGGGGTCCGTGCCTGGGCCATGGGATGGGGTCTAGGGGTTGCGCAAGGGTCCCTGGATCCCTCTCTCACTGGCTCTGCTTCCCTGTCCTGCACCCAGGCCCATGTGCTTTGTGAAGCAGCTCGAGGTCCCTCCGTACGGGAGCTACCGGCCCAGTGTGGCTCCTACCACGCCCAGGGCCAACTTGGCCAAGGAGCTGGAGAAGTTCTCCAAGGTCACCTTTGACTACGCAAGTTTCGATGCTCAGGTTTTTGGCAAACGCATGCTTGCCCCAAAGATACAGACCAGCGAAACCTCACCTAAAGCCTTTCAATGTAAGTTTGGGGCAATTGTTGTTGTTTCTCTCCCTGTGTTCTCCTGGGAGCAGCAGGACTCAGGAGCCTGTGGAGAAGGGCCTCTCAAGGAGCTAGAAGGGGGGAATCTCCACCTTCGCTGGGGCACCAGGGTGCAGGCGAGGCCTTAGCTGTCCCGTGGACAGGATCGTGGCTTTCTTGGGGGGCCAGATCTTACTCATATTGCTCTGCCATGTTCACCATTAACCTTTACGTGTCTCCCAATTATTTATGAAAGAAAACTCGATCCTTTATGGGCATGTATGTTCAAATACTTAAGAATAACTTCTCTGATGTGGTTCGCCCTGAGAGAGCCCCTCTCCTGACCATCCTTGTGCGACCTGTGCAATCCCAGCACTGCCTCCCAGAGCGGCTGGATGTGGAGCCGGGTGGGGCCTAGAACTGCTGGGGTGGGCCCAGGACGCTGACGGGAGCCACAGCTTTCCTGCATGGGACCATCTCACTGGGTATTACTGTGGCCTCAGGAACGGATTTTCTAGATAGTTGTACTGACAAAAATCATTCCTACAAATCTTCAAGAACAACCTTTCTTGTCTTTTTTTTTGTTTTTTTTTTTTGAGACAAAGTCTCACTCCGTTGCCCAGGCTAGAGTGCCGTGGTGTCAGCCTAGCTCACAGCAGCCTCAAACTCCTGGGCTCAAGCGAACCTCCTGCTTCAGCCTCCCGAGCAGCTGGGACTACAGGCATGAGCCACCACGGCCGGCTAATTTTTTTCTATGTATTTTTAGTTGGCCAATTAATTTCTTTCTATTTTTAGTAGAGACGGGGTCTCGCTTTTGCTCAGGCTGGTTTCGAACTCCTGACCTTGAGCGATCCGCCCGCCTCAGCCTCCCAGACCTTCTTGTCTTTTCTTGTCACTTGACGCACTAATTTGTGCAATAAGCCTCTTAGCCCTGAAGAGGCACTCGAGGTGGAGAAGCACCCGGCGTACACGTGGGCTTGGCAGCTCGGGTGGGTGTCCTCAGCCAGAGGCGACAGGGATGGGTTTCCTGCATGTGGATCGCAGCAGCACTGAGGGGCGCGATGCCATTGGGTGTGAGCCTGTCTTCCTAACTCGGCAGAACCTGCCCGTCAGGACGGAGCCTTCGTGATGGTGCCGGTGGGGCCTCACGAGGAACTGCTGCTGTGGTTGCTCGGAATGTCGTGCATGCGAGCGAGCTCATGGCTATGGCACCATTGCTGGAAAAGATAACATTTTATGCCTTATTTTGTCTTGTTTGTTTGAACAATAATATTACTCTATTAAGGCAGTGACTATTACTGGGGACACCAAAATCAGCCTAAATATGGTAACGCCCTTTGGAGAGTGTCCTACTTGAGTGATATTCCAAACACTCATCCTGCTAATATTTACAGAAATCCTCAGTTTCTCAGCAAGCATTCGCTGATAGACAAAATGTTTTGTTGGAAACGTCAGGGCTGCTAGAATATCGTTGAAGGGTTTTGCTCTTTCTGCCCAAATCTTGGTCAGGCCAGAAGTGAGACTGCCTCCTCCGGACGCCGAAGGAGGGCAGGTGGGAGTGGGGTTGGTGACGAGCCCTGGCGTGTAGCTGTGCCCTGGGCCCTCCCCGCCCTCCCAAGTCCCCTTGATGTGTCTGCGTTGTCACCTCCGTTCACGCTGTGTCTCAGCCTGGTGTTGTTCCCTCTTTGCAGCCAAACCTTTCCCAAAGGCCTCCTCCCCCAGGCACAGCCCCTCCAGTAGTTATGCGAGGAGCACTTCCTCCTCTTCTGCAGGCTTCGACTACTCGCACGACGCGGAGGCGGCGCACATGGCTGCCACTGCCATCCTGAACCTCTCCACGCGCTGCTGGGAGATGCCCGAGAACCTCAGCACGAAGCCGCAGGAGCCCCCCGGCAAGGTCGGTGGTTCCCACGAGCCCTCCTGGGGAGAGGCGGCGGTGGAACCTGCAGTCAGGCCGCCTGCTCCCTGCACAGAGTGGCCCCAGGGACTCCCTGTAGTTAGCAGCTCTCATCCTTACCCTCTCCCCCACCTGGACACGCCCCGTGACTGCAGAGTAGGCGTGTCCTCCCGAGACAGACCTGGCGCAGGCCACGTGCCCAGATGTCCCCTCTGAGTCCGAGGCTGGTGCACATGGTGTGTTCCGTGTTCCCTGCTTGGTCTGGCTGTTGTGCACATGTGTTTCCTACAGTCTGAAGGTTGTGCACGTACCCTGTCCACGCGTGTTTCCCGCAGTCTCATGGCTGCTGATGTGTCCCGCCTCAGAGGACCTGGCTTCACCCCTGCCTATAGCATGTCTTGAGGGGCTGGTTTCATGCTGCTGGGGGGCAAGAGGAATCACAGGGCCTCCCTCATGTGGAATCGGGGTGGGACAGTGGGCTTTCTGTCCTCCTAGTGGCTGTCCATGCTGGCCACTGTTTCCTTCCATGGGAATTGGTGTTCTAGACTCTGTAAATTTGATTAAAATGCACCAGACGGCGTGCATGGGAGGGGCTGGAGTCCCTAACAGATCTCACCTTTCCGACTGCAGTCTGTGGACATCGAGGTAGATGAAAACGGAACGCTGGACTTGAGCATGCATAAACACCGCAAGCGGGAAAGCACCTTCCCCAGCAGCAGCAGCTGCAGCAGCAGCCCCGGCGTGAAGTCTCCTGATGCCACCCAGCGCCAGAGCAGCACCAGTGCCCCCAGCAGCTCCATGACCTCGCCCCAGTCCAGCCAGGCCTCCCGCCAGGACGAGTGGGACCGGCCCCTGGACTACACCAAGCCCAGCCGCCTGAGAGAGGAGGAGCCGGAGGAGGTGGGTGCCGGGCCTGAGAGGGCTTCAGGGCTGCAGCCGGCTGGCCCTGCCTGAGGATGGCTGTGGCGGCCGCTCGCTTCCCCAGGCAGCCCCTCACGGGCTTCTGGCAGAGCCTCTGAGGGACCTGCTCCTTGCCACACAGGGCCGTCCACCCCGCGGCTGGGACTCAGAGTCCTGACCGCCAGGAGGGGCGTTGAACCCCAGGGCCTCGCTGTAGCCTTGTCCCTTCTCACTTCTGTGGAGCGTGGTGGCCACACCACCATGGGGGCTCTGCAGGCAGGGACTTGTTTTAGACCCCAGGAGATGACTAGGGACAAGCTCAGGGTTGTGAGCCTCCCACTCCACCCACCTGCTGAGCACACCTGCCAGGTGTGCTCCCACCCCACCCACCTGCTGAGCACACCTGCCACCAGACAGGGGCTTGGCTGCTTGACTCCCTGGGCTAAGGCAGTGGGTAAACTCCTGCCCCAGGGCCCGTGGGCTTTGATTCCGCTGTGGTGGGCAGTGGCCTGAGTTCCTGAGACCAGGACTGACCTGGCATGGGTGCTGAGCTGTGGTCTGGGCAGCAGTGGAACATTCCTTTCTCAATTGTTCCTTAGAACATGTAAAAAAAAAAGAGCCCCTCAGATTGTCAGGGCTGACTGTTTTGAGGGGTGTTGCTCTGGTTCTTTGGCTCCTGGTTTGGAAGAATCACAGGCTGGGCTCATGCCATAGAGAGATGACAGATCCAAGTGACTCACACAAGCAGCTTCTATTGCGGGCTATTTTTGCACAGAAATAGAAAGCAAAAGAATGTTTCCTGAAGGGAAACAGGTCTACCTAGGTGAGTGCAGAAGACACTGGGGTCTTACCTCTACTTTTACGTCTACACCTTATGATGTACTGAATGGTGGGTGGAATATTCATTATTTCTCTGGCAAAAGGGTGAGTGTTCTCAGAGCTAAGGGCTCTCCCCATTTTTGCCCTTATAGGGTAACTTCCTGGGGTTGCCATGACACTTGTAAACTGTGGTGGCCCTGGCGGGTGTGACGTCCACTGTGTCAATGTATGTTGATGGGGAAAAGATCACCATGACGTGGGCTTCTCCTCTCTGCACATGCTCCTGGCCGGAACAGTAACGAACCGCGAGTCTCTGCCTTTGCGCATTGGGTTCTAAATGCTCGTTGGCCTCCTCATTTTTGTCCCCCCCTTTCCTGTGGTTGGTGCTGCCAACCTGCACCTGTTCCCAACAAGATGCGGGCTGACTCCGAGCTTTTTCCCCAAGGAGGTCTGTCCCGAAGAGCAAGGTCCAGCTCTGAGGGCAGCCCAGGGTGCAGGTGGCGTCAGCAGCAAGTGTGAGGCCTGGGGGCCCCTCCCTCCCCTGCGCCCCCGCCCCTCCCTCCCAGGCCCTCAAGAGGGGAGGTGGGGCCAGGTCTGCAAAGGGTGGGGGCTGGGACGACGCCCTCATAGGACCCCTATAGGTGGACTCCCTGATCACCCCATTTTACAGAGGGACAGTCTGAGCCCCCGTGGGTCACATGGCTCAGCCACTAGCTCCCCCTCAGGGGCAGGGCTCAGGAGGGCCCAGACTGAGCCCCGAATGGAGGAAGGCAGTGCCTGGAGTCATGTCTGCCTGAGACTGCTGAGCCGGTTTCTCCGATGCTTGGCAGGAGTTCTGCCTGAGGTGGCCCCCTGGCGCCGGGCGTCCTGGGCTGTACCTCCCGTCTGCTTCCACCCTTGGGCCCAGCGGCCTCGATGTTTACGTCTAACTCCCAGGACTGAGCCACCCACCACTCCCTCCTTCACGCACCCTCACCGTGCCCTCCTGACCTACTGGTCACGCCTCCTCAGCCAGCTGTTTTCCGGGCTCGAGCATGTGGGTGACCCACACCCTGCGGCCTGTCCTTTCCTGCCTCTCTTCTCGACCCCAGCTCAGCACCAGTCTGCCCGGGCTGCCTCGCCTCCCTTCTCCCGTTACGTCCCTCCCAGGAACACAGCCCCTTCTGTGGGGCGACTCGGGTCTCAGAACTCCTCAGGTCCTTGCCCTGAGGCCTGTCCCCATGCGCCACCCGGCATCTGTGGCCAGTGGTCCACTCTGCTGCCAGAAGCCTGGGCTCGCCCCTAAACCTGGGCTCGCCCCTACCCATCTCCTAGGCACAGGCCACCCCAGAAATGCCTCCTGCATCTGGGCCTTCCCACTGCCCGGGACTCCTGACTCAGAGCCTCCTTCCCGCTCTGCCCAGGCTCCTTGCCTCCACCTGCCTTGGGCGAGGCCGCCCTCTGCAGCCTCACCCCCGCACCCCTGCCCTGGCAGCACGCTATTCACAGTCCCGGATGCTCCAGGCCTTGTGTGTCCGAGATGCTCTCCTTGTACTGGCACGGCCTCCTCCCCTCTGCGTCCGAGAAGCCCCGTTTATCCCAAACGTGTCCTCTGAAGGCCTCGTCCACCTTGCTCGGGTGAATCAGGGGCTTCCCCGCCTCGGCTCACGTGCGGCGACAGGAGTAGCAATGGCAGCACCGCAGCACTGTCCCCGTCTGCGCCAGTCACCCAGTCTGTCACGCTGGACTGCACGCGTCACGGGCATGTCCTCATTTGATCCCCCAAAAGCCTGAGAGGGGCTGCTGTCACCCTAGGTCTGGAAGTGCGGTGCCCGGGCCCCAGAGGTTGCTCCATTTGCCTGGGACGCACAGCAGGTGCCTGTCAGCACGGGACGGGGCTCCTGCCACAGCCGTTGGTAGAACACGGCCTGTCTGAGCCTCCCTGCCCTGCAGTGCTGCACCGGCACGTGGCCCAGCGCTCAGCCTGCAGCATTATCGAGTGCCTGCGCTGTCAGGGTGTCTCGGTGGAGGGTGTCAGGCCGGGTGGGCTCCAGGTCATGGCGATGGTCACAAGCTGCGTGTTATGACTCTCATGGTGCTGTCTTGTTGTCACGGCACCACAGCAACACTCACTGGGCCTGTTGCCTGCCGGGCGCCTTTCCTGGCTTTGACGGGAGCTGTCTCCTGGTGTTTGCATGGTGGGGTGACTTCGTGGGGGTGACCCACACACCCAAGGCCACAGAGGATGTCGAGAGCCGCTGCACTGAGCACCACCAGGCCTCCTTGTTTCTGGGGTGGTTCAGGGGCTCTGGCTGCAGTGGGGAAGGAGTCCAGCCCCCCAGGGTGCTATCTTCTGTGTCCCTTGTGGGGAGCCAGGTCTTCCTTGTCCAGAAGACAAGAGACTCCGGGAAGCGCCTCTGTTGTCACTCTCCTGAAGGGTCCCTCGCCCTTGCCCACCGGGTTGGGAGCCCGGGCTTCCCCGCCAGCCGGTTAAAACGTCTCCCTGCTGGTCTTTTGCAGTCAGAGCCAGCAGCCCATTCTTTTGCTTCTTCTGAAGCAGATGACCAGGAAGTGTCGGAAGAGAATTTCGAGGAGCGGAAGTACCCGGGGGAAGTCACCCTGACCAACTTTAAGCTGAAGTTTCTCTCCAAGGACATAAAGAAAGAGCTGCTCACGTAAGTCCCTGCCTGGGCCAGCAGCTCAGCTCCTAGGAGAACTTCTATCACCTGGGAAGGAGCAGGCCTGGTCCTAGCCCATGATGACCAGGTCTGCTCGGTCCAGGGCCTTCTCCCTGCCCTGTCCTGTCCTCCTTGAGCTAGGTGACCCACCACAGGTGACAGGGGTGTCATCTCTGCACTGCACTGGGCTTTAACACAATCCTCTAAAAGTAATTAAGAAAAGGAAGAGCCCCTGGCCCAGTTTACAAATCAGCACAGAGCAAAGCAGGAGGAGAGTGGAGGAGAGGTGAGCAGAGAGCTCTGGAGGATGCCCTGGGGCAGCCAGAGGCCAGGCCCTTTCCCTGAGGCCGCAGCTGGGTGCTTTCTGCCCTGGGCTCGGTGCCCAGAGTGCCCTGCCTTGAGACTCAGCCTCAGCTCTGGCAGCCCTGCTGGGCCCGAGGCAGCCCTCTGAGCACATCCCCTCGGGGCTGAGCCAGACAGAGTCGTTGTTAGACACGAGTCATGTGCTGACGCCAGTGTGAGCACTAGTGACCTTCTGGTCAGCACCCCCTTGCCAACCACCTGCCCTAGACTGTGTGAGGCAGCGCAGACACCTGCACCACAGGTGACCCAGCCCTCACACGCGCTCATGCCTGGGCTCCCTCCTCTCTCCGCCCTGAATCCCACTAGTTTCCTCGTATCTATGGCTTGCCCTCCCTGGTTGGTGGATCCAGGCTCTGGTCTGGAGCCTCTTCCTCAGGGAAGGCTTTGCTGCTTCGGGGGCGGGGAAAAGGGAAGGAGCTCCCTGCTTACATGTTCACAGGCACACGCATGTGCACACATGTGATGACATGTGCTTCAGAGGCATCCCAACTCCACATTCGACTTGAGTCTGGCCACGTTTTCCTCCTCGAGTTGAGTTGTATGGGAGAAACTTCCAGCCCCAAAGGCAAGGGCTGAGCGCCAGGGACCACGGGTAGAGCTGCTGCCCGGCTCCTGGGCAAGCCAGGAACAGGCACCAGGTGCCCTTTCGGAGCAGGCTCCGCCTGGGCAGGCCTGCAGGCGTGCGCTGCCCTCTCCTGACACTCTTTTTCTTTGTCCAGCTGTCCCACCCCTGGCTGTGACGGCAGCGGCCACATCACCGGGAACTATGCCTCCCACCGCAGGTTCGTCCCCTGCTCGGGTCCGGCTGGCCTGGGTGCTTCGTGGTGGGTCTTCCTCCTCTCCTCTCTGCTCCCCCTCTTTGGCTCACCCCGATATCCCATCTCTTCTCTTTCAGCCTCTCTGGTTGCCCTCTTGCTGACAAGAGCCTCAGAAACCTCATGGCTGCCCACTCTGCCGACCTCAAGTATGTTTGCGCTCCCTGACCTCCTGTCTCCAGGGCAGCACGCTCGCTTTGCGCTCTTCTTCCGTGAGGCTCCTGCCAAAATCGGCCTCTCCCTGGCACGAGGCCCAGACTGGCCCCGCTGCCCTGGGCTGGGGCCGGGGGCCGGCTGTGGAGGGGCCGATCCTGCTTGGCTGGGGCCAGGGCTGCGGGCCCTGCTCTGAGCGCTGCTGTCTGCGCCTCCGGGGCCAGGGCTGCTGCAGGCTCCTGCACGGTCCTCGCCCCCAGCCCAGCCTCACCTGGAGGGAGACCTCCACAGGGCTGCAGGCCCTGCTCTGAGCGCTGCTGTCTGCACCTCCGGGGACCAGGGCTGCTGCAGGCTCCTGCACGGTCCTCGCCCCCAGCCCAGCCTCTCCTGGAGGGAGACCTCCACAGGGCTGCAGGCCCTGCTCTGAGCGCTGCTGTCTGCACCTCCGGGGACCAGGGCTGCTGCAGGCTCCTGCACGGTCCTCGCCCCCAGCCCAGCCTCTCCTGGAGGGAGACCTCCCACAGGGCTGCAGGCCCTGCTTTCCTCACTGCCCCAGAGATTCTGGAAAAGCCCGGAGTTGGTCGTGGCTTGTCAGTCCTGCCCTGGCTTGGCAGATGCAGGCTGCGTGGCTATTGCTGAATGATCTGGACACTGGTGGTGATGAGAAAGCTCCCCCTTCCTGCGACCCTCCAGCTGCTTCTGCCTTGGTCCTGGGGCCCCCAGACACGCTCTGCTCCATGCCTGCCTCGCCTTCTCTCTGCTGGGCCCTTTCGCTTCTGTGGCTCCCTGCCCCTAGCGCGTGGGCAGGGCAGGCCCTATGGCACCAGCTGGCCTGCTTGACCGTCCTCACAGAGAGCCACGAGCACTCAGAGGTTTCCGGGTGTCAGTGTCCTCGTGGGGCTGGAGTCTGGGACCGTGGCTGCCTTTGGCTTTCCTGCCTTCAGCTGGGCTGTGTGACCTCCCATCGCAGCCAGTGGGACCTGAGCTCAGGAAGCTCGTCCTGGGCTCCGGGGTTGAGCTGAGGCCTTGGAGGAAAGAGGTCCCACTCTTGCTCCTCAGGTCACCCTCTCCAGGGGTGCCCCTCTGTCCTGGGGCTTCTGTGTTGGGGTCTCTGATTCCAGGCCAACGCTCCCTGGCATGTTCTTTTCTGGGGCCAGACAGTAGCCAGGCACTGGTGCCTCTAACATGAAGAAAGGAAGTTGCCAAAGGTTTCTAGGGACCTGAGCTGGCTCGGAGAAGGACAGAAAGCTTGGGGCCTCCAGAGCCCCCAGTGGCACCCTTGACTCAGCCTCTCTGTGGAGGCTGCTGTGGCCCCAGCCTCCAGGAGGACTGTCCACAGCCCTTCAGTCCCCACAGAGGAGGCCGGGGCAGGGTTCATCGGCTCCGTGTGTTTCTGGAAGCTGACAGCTTCACACCTGTTGCCAGGGGAGACTCACAGGTTCACGTGCTCATTCATTCTGGCCCCACCACGTCTGGCCCCAGAAACCCAGAGCTGGAAAAGCCCTGCAGCTTCAGAGACTCCTCTCTTTCCCTCTCTCCTTCTTCTCTTGCCATCTTTCTTGCATTCCTTTTTCCTATTTTCTTTTCCAATTCTGCTTTCCTCTGTAATTCCATGGTTTTCCAGTTTGAGGGCCTAAATAATAAGAGTGGGAGATGTGGCCGCAGGCACCGTGTCCCCAAACGTTGATGGTGTCCCTCTGCTTGCGAAGCAGAGGCTGGGGGATGGTGGCAGAAACTTGGCACGATCTGGGCCTGGGGACACAGCTGTCTGGGACAGTTAGTGTGTTTTTAAGACCGAGAGCCTGTGAAGAACCTCAACTCAAAACTTCTGCAGAAGCAGCAACAAAAATTCTTCCTTGTGTGAAGGAAATCCAATGCCTCATCAGCCTCAGCAAGGCCTGGTGGCAGCAGAGGGTCCTGACTCCCGCTGGGGCTCTTGTCCACCCTGAGGGCCTTTCTGTTGGGAGGCCGCTTCCCTGCCTCCCCTAGACCGAGCGTGGGCTTGGGATGGTGGTAGCCCCACCACTGCCCTGTGCATGGATGCTCCCCGTGCTCCCTCCCCCTTCTCCTGGGCCCGTGTGCACCAAGCACAGGCTGCTCCTGGGCAGCCTCTGGGCAGCGATGGGCACAGGTGACCCATCCAGAGCCAGGACAACGGATGCTCTTTTTGTGGCCTCCCTTTCCACACCTGGATGCAGACACAGTCTTGGATGATGCATTTTCTGCATTCTAAGTGAGTCCCGAGGTGTTTGCTCTTCCCTTCCGTATGCTCGGTGTGGTCAGGGACTGCAGACGTAGGGCTGAGAGGGCAGGGCCAACTCAGGCCACTCAATGCACCGTGCGTAGGGAGTTGGGGCGCAGCTGCGCATCTGCCAGGGCGCGACAGTCTCGGTGCAGGGTGGAGGATGGCCCCCACAGCGCAGGGGTGGAGCTCAGAGGTGAGACCCAGCAAGCACCGCCAAGGCAGGAGGGCGTCCCTCAGACACTGGCGTTTCCTTCTGCCTAGACAAGGTGCCCAGAGTAGGTGGTGGGAGGGCAGAGGTGGCACCGGGCTCCAGGCCTCTGCAGGTCCACAGGGCTGTACGGAGCACCCAGGAGGACACGGGCTCCTCTGACCACATGAGCGCTGGCCTGTCTGGATGTAACTCTTGGGAAAAGACACTGAATTGGGTCTCAGAGGGGTGTACTAGATGGCCCCACCTGCGTGTCAGGTGCCTGTGGACCTCGTGGGAGTCATGCCCACCCCCACTCACAGGTGCCATCGGGGTGTATCTATACCACCACTGGTGCCACTCACAGCCCAGAGCTTTGCTCACCCTGCTGGGGCAGGTCTGTGGCCCAGCTACCTGAGTGGCCACTGCCCACAGCACTGGACCCAAGTGCTGCCAGACGCTCCACGGCCACTGAGAAGAAGACTGGCCACATGAATAGCTGCCAACTCAGGAGGAGCTGTGGGCTGACTTCAGTTCTCAGGGCTTCGCCTTCTGGAGAGCGGGGACATCCTGTTGGTGACGCGTCCCCACGGCTGGAGGGCATAGTGTGGTCCCGTAGAGACTGAGGAATGTTTGACAGGTGGGCCAGTGAGGTGTCTGATATGTGACCCACAGGGCAAGGATGAGCAAACCCAAGACGCCCCCAGAGGACACCCCAACAAAACTCCGAAGGCCCACAGAGAAGGCTGCAGGAGGTGGGGCCAGCCCTGCCCTGCCTGCCACAGGACTCCTTTGAGTGCCAGACTGTGCCCAGCTTCTGTCCTCCAAGCACGATGTCTTGCCCCGCAGTCCAGAGGCCATGTGTGCTGGTGGAAGACTCTGGCAAGGAAGGGCCATGTTCACAGCACAGAAAGTGAGGCCTGAGTGCCGCGGCCAAGCGCTCTGTAACGAGCTGTCCAGACAAAGGCACCAGACTCTTGCCCAGCTCCTGCAAGGCTGGGAGCCTCCCCAGGGCAAGTTGCGGAGCAGCAGACCTGAAGGGGGCTGAATCCACCTGCAGGATCAGGTCACCTCCTCCCACTGGCCAATGCTGTCCCACAGCAGGCAGGTCTATGCAAACCAGCCCCCAAGGTCTGAGGAAGCTGAAAGGCCAGAGAAAGAGGCCGACTTACGCAGGGTCTCAGGAGGAAAGAAACTGTCTCAGGCAATGGCAAGGGAAGATGAGCTGGTGGATCTCCGTGCCATCACCCGTAGACCTGGGCTGCTAGATCCCAGGAAGGAATGGGATAGATAACTGAGGTTGTCACATGAATCTGCCCAAGGGCAGGATTTGTGATCAAGGTCGTCCTGGTGTCAGGGCAGGGTTTATGGTGACAGTGGATAAAATAGGAATCTAAAGGCTTTCCCAGAACAGGGGTTAATCAGAAGTCAGCGTGGTGGAGCAGCATCCAAAATGGGGCTGCTTCACCTCTGCAAGCACCGGCAGGAACTCACACGCTCTTCCTCACGGACGTCCAGGAGAAAGTAATGAAAGAACGTCCATGCTTGTAATCTTAGAGTGGAATTTTTTACCACATTATGTGACACATTCATCAAACATTTTTGGGTGTATAAAGCCGGACTTTTGTGTTTCCCGTCCTCACCCTCTGCTGGCACCACCACCTCAAAAGCCACAGGCTGAGTGGGCTCTGCCCTCAGCCAGAGGAGCACCAGGTCTGGAGCAGCCGGCGTCTGCCCCTGCAGGTACCCAGGAAGCTCCGCCCAGGAAGCTCCGCCCACTCGCTCAGCCCTCCCGGCCCATCCAGGAAGACGTGCTGGTCCTAGGGGTTAAGTTTGCCTTCCTGAGCTCTCCTGTTGGAAGTTATGGCTCAGTTGTGTTCTGGACGCTTCTAGTCCAGCCTAGACCCTATAGAAGGTGGAGACGGGATGCAGTGGACCCAACAGGCTGGTCCCGACATCCAGGCCTGCTGTCTGGGCGTAAACTGGGCCCTCGAGCAGCGGCCAGTTGCTCCCCTCTTGGCTCTCCTGGCCTCCCTGGGAGGACCGAGGGGCAGCATACTGAAGCCCGGGACACCCTGTTGCTGGCAGGAGGCAGGTGAGGCGAGCTTCGGCGACGTTCCTCTGTGGAGAAGCACTTAAGGAGTCCAGTCTGGGGAAGGTGGGGAGTGTGCACACGAGGACTGTGTGTCGGGGGGTCGCAGGTCTCTGGACCGAGGATGGATGCCTTCACAGGCTCTGGTCCCAGCTCTGCTTTCCTCCGCAGGTGCCCCACGCCCGGCTGCGATGGCTCCGGCCACATCACAGGGAACTACGCCTCTCACCGGAGGTGAGCCTGCCACACCCTTGGGTCCTGGGCCCTCGAGGTGGGTGGGGGCCTCTTCCTTAGACAAAGCCACGAAAGTCTGAATCAGACACTGATGTTGCTGACAGCTAGAGCTCACTCCCATCTCTTTGGGCTGAAATGTCTCTGCTCCCAGAACCCGATCAGGGCGCCCCGTGCAGTAAGATGCAGATGAGGCTCAGAGTTGGGCGCTCACGGGACCTGCTCCTTCCAAGCCCCACTGCCCTGTGCAAAGGCTCTGCGGCTGCAGACCACTCCTTAGAGTTGGTGGGTCAGTTGACACCCCCCCCCGACCTGGGGTCACAGCACTTGAAGGGAGAGGATGAGATGGACGGGTGCAAGGCTGCTATTCTAGGACTAAGGTGGCCCTTTTTCCTCTTTTAAAACCAGCTTGTCAGGCTGCCCTCGTGCCAAGAAAAGTGGAGTGAAAGTGGCCCCCACCAAGGATGACAAGGAGGACCCTGAGCTGATGAAGTACGTCAGGCCATGCTGGCTTCTTCATTGCTTTGCAGAATTGGGATTTTCCTGTGTTTTATAATTTTAAAAAATCTCCTAGATTCCCTTTTCAGTAAACCTGTGATCAAGAAACTGACCCATGCCAACATTCCCTTTTGTAGAAGTGCTCACATTCTGTGCATTGGCACCTGTGATGGTGTGAGTCCCGGTGTTTCATCCAGGCACGCTGCTGGCCCCTCTGGGCTTCCCAGGGCTGGAGTGTTTGAGAGGCAGAGCACCCTGCTGCCTGTGACGGGGCCAGCTGGGCATGGGCCTCAGGGCCTTGGGTGGCCCCAGGGCCTCTGTAGGACTTTCATCTGGCAGGAAAGTTCAGGTGCAGAAGTCCAGAAGGAAAGGATGGTTAGAAAGACGTTGGACCTTTGAATCCTCTGTGTCCAAACATCCACACCCCTGTGCAGAGAGCAGGTAGGGTGAGATTGTCCAGGAAGATCAAAACTGGGAACTAGACACTGCTGGAGGAGAGAGGACATCTTCAGCCTTAAGTGACCCAGTTTCTGAAGCAAAAAGACTCTACTGCCCTTCTCACTGTGGTGAGGGTGGGGGCTGATGTGTCTTCTAGGGGGTCATGGGTGAGCCCAGACTCTGCGTGACCCTACTTGATGGGGGCTTGCTCCGTGTCCAGCCTGTTCTCCCAGCAGGAAGCTGGTCCCCCGCACCGCCCACTCGTAGGTGGGGACAGTACTGTGCTGCAGGCTCCAACAGTGTGACCCACTGGCCAGTGTTCCCAGGACCAAGGGATTTTCAGAGCTGACACTGGCCAATGGGTGGTGGGGCCCCTGGCAGGTGAGCAGTGGAGGTGCCCACGACCTGGGCCTCGGGCTGGCTTGTTTGGGGCAGGGCCTGGCAGGCCTGCAGGAAACAGGTTTGCCCTGACTGTTACCTGCTGAGCCAAGAGTAGCAGCACTCACCCCTGCAGAGGGACAGCTTTGCCCCAGATTCGGTTGCTCTTGCTCACTGTGCCCAAACATCTGCTCGGCCACAAGGGAGGGGCCTGATGGACTAAGTCGCACCCTCAGAAGGGGACAGCCCCACCAGCTGTTTGGTGTAATAAGGCTGTAGCTTGTTTATTTATTTAATTTTTACAATAAAACTGTAATGAATGCTAAATTAACAATGCAAAATAGGAGGTTGTTTGTATTACAAATGCTGCATACTAAATGCTGGAGTGCGTAAAAAGTATTTTTCCCCCTGAGAAGCCAGGAATTTGTCTGTGATCATATAAATGCAATGCTTTGATGGATTTAGCAAGCACCCTGCTGGCAGGGATTTTATAAGTGAATTGTGCTACATTTACAAATGATTAAAATCAAGATCAGCATTTTTCAAATTAACTAGGAAAAATGTTTTTCCTCTTTTTAATGTGCTGTCAACTTTGCTTTTAAAAAAACAAGAGTTCTGAAGCCAAGTGGAGGTTGTGACTTAGAAACAGATCAACATTTGCAGGATAAAGTTCCTAGCAGCTCCCTGGCAAAGGGGGGCCGCCCACTTAGCGCCTCCATTTTATAGGGCCTCCCCCTGCCATAAACGTTAACTGTATTTGTAATTGACTAGCATCTTTACACAAGTGCATGCTGAAGCAGAAACTTTAGCGATGCACCAGGTCTGAGGCATGGGATTTCATTAGCATGCATGAACTGTGTTTTTGGAGAGGCTGACACCTCATGTCTGCACCATTTAAAATTAAGTCACGTCGGCACGTAGTGGTAAATCCCTTTTGCCACAGCTTTATAACTGGTCATAAAACTCTGGTGGGCTGGGCGCGGTGGCTCACGCCTACAATCCTAGCACTCAGGGAAGTCAAGGTGGGAGGATCGCCTGAGGTCAGGAGTTTGAGACTAGCCTGAGCAAGAGTGAGACTTCATCTTTACAAAAATAGAAAAATTAGCTGGGCATGGTGGTGCATACCTGTAGTCCCGGCTCCTTGAGAGGCTGAGGCAGGAGGATCACTTAAGCCCAGGAGTTTAAGGTTGCAGTGAGCTGTGATGACATCACCACACTCTAGCTGGGGCGGCAGAGTGAGACTCTGTCTCAAAAAAAGAAAAAAAAAAACAGTCTGTGGAGGTTCTGGCGTGGGAGTCAGGAGGTGAATGATTCCTCCACCCCACCCATTGCCCCTGGAGGGGGCCCACCCTGCCTGGCCACACTGGCATCTGACAGACAAAACGCACCTCTGGTCCCTGGTCCTGGCCACGTCTCATGTCACCGGTGGATGAGGTTCCTGTGGCCTGCCACCTGTGAGGAAGCAGCAGCTCACCCAAGGAACAGGAAACCACGCCAACTCAGTGCCCCTCGCACGTTTCAGCGTGATGCCCCCTGGCGGGCCTGAGGTTCCGCACTGGGTGCGGAGAAAAGGAAGCCCCTATCTGAAATCCTCTCCTTGTACTCAATGGCAGGGATTATTAACCCTTCCTCCGGATGAAGGGTCTTAGGGTTTTGTGAGAAAGTAAAACATTCCGTTCAGATTCTACCGTGCAGAGTGACTGAAGAACCACCTCTCACTTGGCCCCTTGATCCTGGGAGTCACCTCTGTGACTCAGCAGGTGCCTCTCCTGGCCTAGGCCCCCAGCTCAGGCCTACCTGTGCCTGGTCCAGCTGTGAGGCATCCGGGTTTGAGGGGGCCAGACATGGAATAGGAACCTCCCAGAGCCTCCACAGGAGCCCCTGGCAGTGCTCTGGCCCCTGCTCTGCACTGCTGGCTGAGATGACCTTGGACTGGCCCAGTGGACACCTGTGAGTGTCCAAGAGCTGGAGGCCAGGATGAGTAAGAAAGGGAGGAGAGAGGAAAGAGGAAGAAGCAGGCCCTGGCCGCAGTGGCTGGGAAGTTGTCTACAACGACTGCCCCTAAGACGAGGCCAGGATTGTGGGGGCAGCGAGCCTTGGACGGCCCTCCCTGGGCCCCCATCCCACCCTGCAGCATGAGCCTCTGCTGACAATCCTCTTTCCTCCTGAAGGCTTCCTGCCTTGACTTCTCTGTGTGATCGGGGGCCTCTCTATAGATGGGACGATGGTGTCCCCTCTTGGGGTCCTAGGCTACCAGGCATTTATCATACAGCGAGTGTGTGAATGAAGGTAGTTTGGATGTGTTTTATTTGTTGGAGAAAGAAGACTGGAATTTGTAGATCAAAGATCTTGTCCTAGGCCAGGTGTGAGTTCCTAGGTGATCTGGTCTGCCACCCCCAGGGCAGTGGGACAGACACCCAGAGAGGGACTGGCCCTGGGCCCTCTGCATCACCCTGTTTGTCTCTGACCCACACTGTGCTGGGCCTTTGCCAATCCACGTTTGTGTTGTTTCCATAAGCACCTCTATCCTCTCCTTGAATACTCAGAACAAAGGAAAGGAAAATGCCATCCAGGCCAGCCTTGGGTAGGACTGATTGCGGGATATCCAAGTGGCAAAGGGTGCCCTGTGATCGACAGGCCCCCAGGCCTCCCCAGGCCCATGCTTAGCGCAAGATCCCAGGGAGTGGCCTCTGGGTGGTCTTGGCTGACAGCAGAGTTCTGCATTGCTGAAGAGGCACAGCAGTGACCCCAGCAGCAAGGCCTTGGTGTGAACCTGAGAGCCAGCCCCAGGCACAGGGTCGCAGCTGCGGGAGGGTGGGGAGAGGTGTCTGCTGACACCTCCAGCCTCCAGCCATGCAGGGGCCGTGAGCCCAAGGTGCATGGCCCTGGCAGCCTTCACGTCCAGCCTGAAGGCCCAGCTTCTTCCCCAAGGCTCCAGGACTCTGGCTGTGCCTCTGCCTCACTCAGGAGCTCCCTTCGTGCGCCATGTGGGTTCTCTCTGTGTCTGTCTCGGGAGGTCTCCAGGCTTTTCCTCCCAACACTGGTGCCCCTGTCCTCACCTCTGGCCTTTCTGCGCCCAGGTGCCCAGTTCCAGGCTGTGTGGGGCTTGGTCACATCAGCGGCAAATACGCCTCCCACAGAAGTGCATCTGGCTGCCCGCTGGCTGCCCGGAGGCAGAAAGAAGGTTCCCTCAATGGCTCGTCGTTCTCCTGGAAGTCCCTGAAGAACGAGGGGCCAACCTGCCCCACCCCCGGCTGCGACGGCTCTGGCCACGCCAACGGGAGCTTCCTCACCCACCGAAGGTAACTGTCCCCCCACACCCTGCCCTGTCTGAGCAGTGAGTAGGAACCCCAGCAGGGGCTGGGGGCAAGACTCCTAGGAGGGCCAGATACGGTGGCTCACGCCTGTAGTCCTAGCACTGTGGGAGGCCAAGGCGAGAGGATTGCTTGAGGCCAGGAGTTCAAGACCTGGGCAACGTAGTAAGACCCCGTCTCTATAAAAAAACAAAAAATAAAAAAGTTAGCCAGGCATGGTGGTGTGTGCCTGTAGTCCCAGCTACTTGGGAGGCTGAAGCAGGAGGATCGCTGGAGCCCAGGCCTTCAAGGATGCATAAGCTGTGATCACACCACTGCACCCCAGCATGGGCAACAGAGCGAGACCTCGTCTCAAGAAAAAAAAAAGAGAAAAAAGAAAAAAAGGAAAGCAAGAGGAAAGGAGGAAGGGAAGGTAGGGAAGGAAGGACAAGCAATGCCTAATGGGTAGCTGACGAAGGGAAGCCAAAGAAGCTCTGTTGGTGCCAGGAGATGGCGTTGGCGATGGCTGTCCCACGTGCCTCCTCTCACGAGCCTCCCTCCACATCCTCACGGAGTCCCTCCGGGGCGTGGAGGCCACACGTGAGCAGAGCCTCATGTCTGACACGCACGTTCTCTTAGTAACTTCTCAGGAAAAGTTTTTCTCCTCCTTCCTTCCTTTCTTATTTCCTCTACCCTAACCCTAACCCTACAAGACTGACTAACTCATTCAGTTAACAAAGCATTCACACCGCTGTGCACCAAGCCCTGGAGACAGAGCAGAGGACAGAAGGACAAGCAGCCCCGTCCTCTGGAGTGCAGCTTGGCAGGGTGGGTGGGAGACGCCGTAAGCAGATGCATAAGTGGGACGCCTACTGTGGTGAGTGCTGGAGAGCACTCTGGGGAAAGAGCCGCGGGGATGGGGCAAGGAAGGCCTCTCTGAGGAGGAAGCAGGAACTTGTCCAAACCGTCTGGGGGACAAGCCTTCCGTGGACTGGCTGGAGCCGGGAATGGCCTGGCCTGCTGGACAGGTTTGGAGGAGCCAGGCTGCGGCGTGCTGGAGCCAGGGAAGAGGGAGCAACAGGAGAGGAGGCGGAAATTTCTGAGCCAGGATCTTTCCATCCTGCCAGCTGGTAAGGTCTCAGCCTGTGTGTGAGCGAGGGCCCCGGCAAGGAGCAGAGGAGAGCCTGAGTCTGACCTGGGCAGCTGGCTCAGCTGCAAGCCGCAAAGGAGGCTGCTAGGCCTGGGTCAGGCAGGCAGAGGAGTCACATTCTGGGCTTCCTATGGACATTGCAACTTGCCTCAATCTACCTTTACTTATGATGTGGATAAAATCACTGGATTAACTCAAATCATGCCTGAGAATCCACACCCTTTTATGTATTTCTCAGTTTTAATGTCTATATCCAAGGAATCATCTGTGAGTATCATTACAACCACAACCTGAAGGGTCTCCTGGGGCAGTGTCCGCTAGGAGGGCCTCCTTGGGGTTGGGGTGGGGTGCAGTCAGGGCTGCAAAGTGCCAGCAAGTGAGTCAGCGGACCTTAGACCTTAAAGAGGGAGCAGCAAAGCCCGGCCCCTCCAGTGCCAAGCAGGGTCCACCATGGCATGCCAGACAGGGAGAGCTCTGGGGTGGGGAGTCACCTTCCTGGTCCCTGCCCTGACCGGATGTAGCTTCTTCTACTCCAGGAAGGACAGAGAGGTGATGAGAAGCAGTTCAGCCATAGGAAGGCCCGCAGGGTCACCTGGGTGAGATGGAACTTGCCTTGTACTGGTCCATAAAGCATGACATTGGACTGGCCATGGTGTATGACATTGGACTGGCCATGGTGTGTGACCTTGGACGGGCCATGGTGTGTGACCTTGGACGGGCCATGGTGTGTGACCTTGGACTGGCCATGGTGTATGACCTTGGACGGGCCATGGTGTGTGACCTTGGACTGGCCATGGTGTGTGACCTTGGACTGGCCATGGTGTGTGACCTTGGACTGGCCATGGTATGTGACCTTGGACTGGCCATGGTGTGTGACCTTGGACTGGCCATGGTGTGTGATCTTGGACTGGCCATGGTGTGTGACCCCACACTGGCCATGGAGTGTGACCCCACACTGGCCATGGTGTGTGACCCCCACACTGGCCATGGAGTGTGACCCCCACACTGGCCATGGTGTCGTGGCCCCACGCGTCAATGGTTGTGACCCACGGCTGGCCATTGGTGTGTGGACCACGCTGGCCAATGGTGTGTGACCCCACCACTGGTCATCGGTGTGTGACCCCACGCTGGCCATGGAGTGACCACCCACACATGGCCATGGAGTGTGAACCCCCGCTGCATGGAGTGGACACACAAACTGGCCATGAGTGGTGACCCAACTAGGCCAAATGCAGTGTGCCAACGCTGCGCCATATAGGTCGTGTG